TATGGGATTAAATACTTGATTGTATAATTGTATAATGTTATTATTCCTGAGTTAATGAAATTAATTATAAACTATTAAAATAAATCCTGAACTTGGAATAATAATTAACCTGGATAATTGAAAATAATATTTAAAGTTGATAAAAATTAAAAGAAGATTAATGGATAAATATTAATACTAAGGATGATGACGAACTCGAAAAGATATTGGAATAAAATGGATGAAAGGTCTGATTCCTTTTCTAAAATAATTGAATCAGTGGTGCCTTCTAAAATGATAATACAACAGTCTTACCTTCGGAAAAGGACTATAAACTCCTTAAAAGAACCATCAAGTCACTTTAATAGGTGGCTCTTGAGAAAACCAGGAACCACTGGTGACAACATCTTCCACCTTCTAACTCACCTGGTTTGAGCAAATATCATACTGAATCATTGTAAGATAATCGAGGCTCATTAAATCCTATAGGGCCATTACAAGGTAAAAAAGATTTGGCAATAACCTGTTTCTTTTTTATTGTCTCCATAGGACTCATTCCAAGAAGTCGAGTTATAGAATTATTGAGATCCTTAACAATAATCGAAAGATTCTTAACCCAGGTCCGGGATCTCTCAGATAAAAGTAACAATAAATCTGAAGCATCTTGTAATCAGAATAATCTTTCAGCTAATGTTTGATTAAATCTTTCAACGATACTTTGACTGCGATGTGATGTGCCTGACTTAATTTTTATATCATATTTAATCATTAATTCTTCACATTTTTCATGAAACTTAATGCCTTTATCAATATATAACAAATTTTGGCTAAACAAAAAATTATTATAAATTTTTTCAAATGCTTTAGCAACTTTGTAAGAAGTACAATCTGTCAGAAGATATGCAATTTTAAACTTGTTGGCCACATCAACTATTACAAGAATAAAATGATAAGTCTTATTTCCAATCTGATCATAAGGCATATAAAAAAGGTCTGCTTGATGGCATTTATTAGGAATTTGTATTATATTAAATAATGCTCAAGAAATATATTTTGGAGGTGGCTTGTGAATCTGAAAAACGGCTTGCTTATTTAACCAGTCTTTTATATCTGTTAGCAAAAAATTATAACCAGCTTTTTTACAAACATCTCTCATTTTTTCAGCAGTTCGATAATAGCCTTCAGATCAGTAATATATTTTTTGTAAAGTAATACCCCTATCTAGTTCACGAGCCCTTCTGGGATCAATATAAATTACAGGTTCTCCCATTACTTATTGCGAAACAATGAAACTTCGTTTCTGATTTATTATAAATAACAAAAATTTGTCATGGATGAATTAATACAGACGAACCAGGAACTCCATGAGGAAATCGAACAATTAGTAAAATCAAACTGGAAATATGAGCAGCAAACATACAACTTTGAAAGGGATATAGTTTTATGTGAAGAAAGGATCTGATATCTCGAGGAGGAGCTAACAAATACAATCGAACTTTCTATACACAAAAGGGAAGAATTAAAAAAAGAGATATTTATACATGCCATCCAAATTCCAAAATAATTTAGGATTTGAGTGGTAGAATAGGTCCAAATTATTTGAGCTTCAAAGGTCAAAAAAGCCCAAAATCCAAATTATTTTTGACAGCCCAAATTATTTTTGGCAACCCAAATTATTTTTGGCAGTCCAAATTATTTTTGACAGTTCAAATTATTTTTGGTAGCTCAAAATATTTTTGGCAGTCCAAAATATTTTTGACAACCCAAAATATTTTTGGCAGTGGAAAAAATATTTGAAACCAATTACTTATTTAAAATTTGACACAATAGATCTGATAATTATTTTTTATTAAATTTTTTTTTTTTAATCTTTGCTTTTTTTTTTTTTTAAAAAAAAAAAAATAAAACTAAACTTATATATCCTTTGTCTTAATAATATTCTTAATATACTATATTTCTTCTTTTTATCTTTTGCTGGTTCGTGGGAACACCATGAGATCGAATTGGCTTTGAAATGGATTTTACGAACTTGAAGGGATATATGGTGAAATAGTGAGTTTTTTTTTTAGTTATTTTTTTTTAAAAAAAAAATATAAATAAGTGAATAAATAACTTATACTTATCTTGCCCTCTTTCTCCTTTTCACCTTTAGCTGGTTCATGGGAATATCGTGAGGTCAAAATGGACTTTAAAATGGGTATCACGGCTTGGGGGACGTACGGCAAAATGGTGAGTTTTTTTTTTAGTTATTTTTTTTTTTAAAAAAAAAATAAATAAATAAATAAATAAATAACTCATACTTACCTTGCTCTTTCTTATATTCACCTTTAGCTGGTTCGTAGGGACAGTGTGAGGTTGAAATGGACTTCGAAATGGGCTATACGGGCTTGAGGAGATAT